CGGCGGAGGGGGGGCCACTGGGCTTCTGGCCCCCCCTTCTTCCTTTTTGCTGCGGCAGCGTTGCAGCCGCTTCCTCCCATCCGATGCCCCAAGGGGCGGCCGAGTGTTCGGCACGCGGGGCAATCGGCCTTCTCGCGGCACTGGCTAGCCGCGACCGCACCGGAAGCAACACCCCGACCTGTCGGTCGTACTTGTGCAGCGCTGCTGTACATGGCCGGCCTCCAAACATCGATAACATTGGAGGCCCCTGGCCGGCAGCAGCGTCAACCGACAGGTCGACCACCCCACAGTTACTCGCGGAGTGGCCATCAACTTCTTGGCCGCCTCTGCGGGGCACCTGACCCAGGCTGAGCCGAGTCCATTGGGGGCCCTCCGAATGTCCCCCACTTTGAACTGCAGTGAGGGACACTCGCTCGATCTCGCGAGCTCTTCGGCCACCTCCTTGGAGGTGACCGAGTCGTCGAGTCCAGAGACTCGGAGTTCGGCGCTCTTTGCGGGTCGGGACACTCTAACGTCGTCCCTATCCGCGAGAGCGGCCGACAGCTTTTCGGCCAAGCGATCTGCCTTGGCCTTGCTCTCCGGGCCTCTCACTTCCCATATGAGGGCCCCCGTTATTGCCCTCCTCGGTCGGAAGTCCTCGATTCCCAGATCCTTAAGGGAAATCGAGGACCTCGCTTTGTTGACCACCTCGGCGTAGGACCCTTGGTCGGCGCACGTTATCATGACCGCCGCCGAGGTGGTCGCCCTGAGTCTGGGGGGCCTGTTGTCGGAGGCTTTGGTTCCTCCGACGGCTCCTCCCTTGCTCGCTCTGGCGCCCTTCTTTTTAGAGCCGCCCCCGGACGTCGTGGGGGCGGCTTTGCCTTTCCCGCGGGCGGGCGGTTAAGGCGGCAGTGCTGCCTTGGCCTTTTGCACCTTGGCCGCCGCCCTTTTCGCCTTTCTGGAGACAACCTGCGCCCAGGTTGCCTCCCTCCGTCTCGCCCGCACTGCGGGTCGGCTGCCCAGCAATCGGGGGAGCCCGGGGAGGTCGCGCCTTTTATGGACTGATGGGGGGCTGGGTGTCGTTACCCCCCGTCGCTCTGGCGCCCTTCTTGGAGGCGGCCCTCGCCCCAGGTTGTTGCGTGGTGGCGAGGGGCCGCTTTCTGCCCCGACTCTGTTCCCTTTGGGGGGGCTGGGCCCTGCTTGGGACAACCCCCATCTCAGTGAGGAGGCGGGGGAGGAGTCGCAAGAGGACCCTTGTCATCCTCTCCTCCTCCTCCGTGCTGCCACCGTCCCCGGTAGTCTTCCACTTCCCCTTGCTCCTAGGGGAGGGGGACTCCGGAAGACGGCCGTGTCCTTCTCGATCACCAGGGGGTTCATTTGTCTTTGAACCCCCTGCAGAGGAGGTCTGTAAAATGGCGACCTCAGATCCTCCTCCGTAATCTCGACCGGGACCGTCGTCCCCTCTTCACCGAGGGCGGTCCCCTCTATCGCGAGGCTCTCCCGTGCACCACCCGGCCTTCGCGCGCCGGCGGAAGATCTCCTCGCCGGCGTCGACTCTGGTGCTGCCAAGGAGCGGGGGGAGGATCTTTCTTCCCCCCCGCCTCCTTGGCCAGCCGCGCGTTTTCTGTGCGGAGGGAGGCGATTTCGCTACGTAGCCTCCGCCTCTCCTCCGCCCAGGCCCGCTTGCCGAGGCTGTTGTCGTTCTCGTCGGTGGTGGCCTCGCTCGCCCTGTTAAAGGTGGTAGTGAGGGCGGCTGAGAGCATGGAGAAAACCCCCCAGAGGTCCCTCACTATGTCACCCTTGATGTTTTTGAAGCGCTCCACCGCTTTTGCAAGGGTGGAGAGCTCCCTCGTGGCGACTGTCGCAATCGCCTCTAGCGGCTGGAGCTCGTACTCCTACGAGCTCCTCCGCCCTCTCATTGGCCCTTCTGGCCGAGGCTGAGGAAGGCGCAATCTCCGGATCGGAGATGATCTTATAGTCCTTCCTCAGCTGTCGGGCCTTCTCCCGGTCTTTCCTTGCGGCCTTGGCTGCCGCAGTGAATTTCCCGGCATTCTCCGGGTTTATGGCCGGCCGGCCCCTGGGGCGTTTGGACACCTCGTCCTCGCTATCCGTGGAGAGGTCTATCGCCTCCGACGCTGTCCTCTTGCGGCCGTCCCCAACGGATGCCATCGAGACTGTGGATCCAGTCCTCGACAGGCTGCCCTCTGAGTTGGCCGTCTCCGGTGCGTTAGTCTTGCCGGTCTCCGAGGTGGCCGCCTCCTTTTGCGGCACCGCAGTCTTGCCGCAGGCGGGGCCGGGTCGCCGCCTGCGCTTCTCCTCCTTGCTGCTCGCCCGTGTTTGCCTGTTGGCCGGGCACTGGGCTAGGAGGCAGAGAGTCCTCCTTCATCCTGCCACGGAGACGTAGTGCCTCCGGGTCGGGTCTAGGGAGAAGTTCCTCCTCCTCGCCAGCGTAGAACAGCTGGTACGTCCCCGGTGCTGGCGTGTCGAACGTCAGTCCGGGTTCCTCGCCGTAATCTTGGAGGCAGGAGTCAAAGTACTCCTCCTGGCACTCCTCAAACACCGGGTCGATGGTGAATGACCCGGAGCGTTCTCCTTCCTCGAGGGGGGTGAGGATCTCCCCCACCGTACCCCCGGTGTCCACCCATTTCTCCGCAGACGCATTTCGGTCCGCAGACGGGTCTGCGGAGCACCCGTCTGCGCGCCTGTCGCATGAGGCCGGGTCTCGGACCAGGCCCGACATGGGGGCGGATCCAGGACACCACCTCCCCCACGCCGGCAGCTGTCGGATTCGACCTCAACTGCTGACGTAATGAGGTCTTCTTTGGTCTCCATTCTATATGTCATAAAGTGGGGCAATTTTACAAGCCGCCCCGAGCCGGGTGTACGATTTTCCTTCCGGGTTTTAAGGGTTTTCCTTCCCTCTCACCGCCCCACCACGCCCCGCCACGGAATAAGTCCGAGTGGCCGGGGGGGGAAAAAAACGCCCCGCCTCAGAAGATGTCCGAGCGGCCGTGCGGCCCCTCTCCAGAAGAGAGACGGGTTGCCCTGTCTCCTTCCCTACGGGCCTGCCCCGAGTGGGCAGAACCCGCACCACGCTAGGGACGCCGCTCCGTGCAATGGCC